TTAGCATCGGTATGTACTTACTTGCGCTATTAACAGTAATTTACGTAGTTTTTCACTTTAGTCAGATGACGAGAAGAAAACCACCTTTGCGAATTTTGGGGGATTTATTAAACCAAGCACCACGTCGAACACACAAGCATTCAGTTTTCTAGCAAATTTACAAAATAAATCTGAGGACCATCCAAAAAGCAATGGCCTCGATGGTTCAAAAACATGTAATAAACCAACAGAAAAAATGAGTATACCTCCTGTTCAAAGTGAAAGTGAAAATTCGGGTAAACCTAAAGAATATTACGCTAAAATAAAAGGTTTAAATCAAAGTGTATCAAAATGGATTAAACAACACGTTGATACAAACCCATTTTTAAATTTAACTCCCATATTTAGAGATTACGAAAAATACTTGGAAGAGATTGAAAGTTTAAATATGCAGTGTGAGAGCAATAAAACGAAGGAAACAGCTAAAGTGTTTAAAGCAGCATCGTGTGAAAAGCTACCGGACGCATCAGAAAAAAAAACCTCCCTTCAATTCGGTGCAACCAATTCAAGTACGATGACTTCTAATTTATTCACATTTGGAAAGTCAAACGTCGAATCGTCTAGAACAGGTTTTATTTTTGATAATACTCCAAAACCATTTGCAATGGCAACCGAGGCACAAAAGGAGGAAGCGAACGAAGAAGACGAAGACAATCCGCCAAAAGTTGAATTCACGCCTGTAGTTGAGGAAGATCATATTTATACAGTTCGATGTAAAGTATTTGTAAAAAAAGATGAAGAGTTTGGTGATCGCGGGGTTGGTAATCTGTTTCTTAAACCTATACCCGATAGTGACAAAGTTCAATTAATCGTCCGTGCAGACACTAATTTAGGTAATCTTCTGTGTAATTTTATTTTATCGAAAAGTATTCCCACACAACGTTTGGGCAAGAAAGATGTAATGTTAATGTGCATGCCGACACCTGAACACAAACCACCGCCAGTGCCAGTTTTATTCAGAGTCAAATCATCGGAACAAGCCGACGAGTTGTTAAAGATATTAGATAAACACAAAAAGTGATTTAGAATGGTGCAGAATTCTATTTCGATTTTAATTTAGTATGTTTGTTACATCATTACTAATAAATTCATTCTAGTAATTAATAGTATGTTGTACTCTTTTGTAGTGTAAAATGTGACCGGCAGAAGCATTAGTCTAATTCAGCCATATTCGACCTTTTTATTTCTCGGGTCGCAGGTTGAATATCGCTGATCTACTCCCTAAACTTCATGGCAAGGCTTTCATTTGTTATGAATTGCTCTGAAGAGCAAAATGCTTTTGTAAATTGAGGATTGTCTGCAGATTTTTTGTCTAATACAATCCTTACAGCCAATTTTATATATTCCTTATTTATTCTGCATTTAAATCTTATTGTTGCTTTCCCAGTAAGCTCTGCATATTATGATGTGCGTATAAAACAGGGTGTTGAATCTATAATAAAACTATTCACCTTTAACAACTGGGAGCTGCATGTAATATGCTACTAACCATATGACCTAAAGGAACATATTTGACCTATTTTCATTTGTTTTCAAGAAGACAAAGAATGTTTTAACCATCAAGGGCATTAACTTTCACGAGATGGTTAGTTGCCCTTTATCATCGTGTATAATACAGAATACAGATTTATGTTATAGCAGAAAATTAAGGATTTAATTAAAAATAGCAAGCTTAGGTTCTCCAGTCGTTTCCATGGAAACTATTGTTTTCGCTTCTGAACTTCATTTTATTTTTTGCTTCGCGTCCCACTTTTAATAAGAATTAACCGATGTCATTACAATGGGCAATAATATGTTTCATTTTATCTACCCTTGTCATTAAAGTGATCACACAATTATAGGTACAAAAAAATTAACTACGACAAAATGCAAAAGAGTCATACAATAAAAATAGGCCTCGAGTCAAATGCAGTAAATGAACAACAACGAAAGAGACATTATAAGTGCAAGTGAAGAACATGATAAATCAAATCAAGTACAAAACACATCGACGATCAATTGAGGCAAAACAACTCTTAAAATGGTAAAATTGCATGTACATAAAAAACATACCAAAGTATAGCTCTACTCCAACATGTGAGAATGCTAGTATATGCTTTAATCATTCATGTTAAAGTATATTACTACGCAAACGAAACCATATTAATAATAATAATACTTTATTGCTCAAACAGAAAACATATTCCAAATAGAGCAACAATACACTGTTTACATCAAGAGTGAAATTAAAATTATGTAACTAAAATCGTACACTGAAGTAGAGTAATATCAAAGAGTACCCACTCATTGGTAATATTATATTATAAACATATACAGTATTTGTAAAATTGCATTGAAAGATTACTTTAATTAAATTAAATTGCGCAACGTAAACCAAATTATATATAAATTATTTAAAACGTAGGTACAAATGAACAACACAGAGATATAAGTAATAGGAGTAATGAAAGAAAAATAAAAAAAAAAAAATTATCTTTGAGAATTATCGAACTTAGTAATTAGTTGTCTAAGTATTTCAGTTAGAGAGGTATATTGAGTGTAGATATAAATAGAAGGAATGTTATGTTAGGACCCTCTTCTTGTATTGCGGTGCATTTTAGCAGCGGCCACGAGATTGAGGAAGCAACATAATACAGCGAAAAATGAAACTATAAGGTATTTCCTTTCCTCCAAAGAATAAACGACTCATACAGATAACCAACAAATTAAAGGACCCCTTTTCTCGTATTGCTTATGCATCGTCCGTTAGCGGGCACGAGAAAGAAGGGAACATAACAATTATTATTACCTGTAAATACACTTTTCAAACACAACAATAAACATTGATAGAACCCGGGAACGCCATCATGTACACTACACCGTACCGCGATTAGTCCAGCTCGGATTCGAATCCCGTTACCGAAACGACGCGAACCGTATTTTTCCTATTGCATTTTGGTAAAAAAGGTAAAATAAGCTTTCCAACGACGTGTTGCTATAACCAATGTTGCCATTTAAAAAAAAACTGGCGCCCGTGTCAAAAAACCATACAGGACAAAAATTTTCTCTTCATGCCCAAACACATCTTATTTATGTCCTAAAACTTTCAAACCGATTACTCCAACCGTTTTCGCACCAGCAATTTGGTTCCATTTTTATTAACCACTCTGCATATTGAAAACTGTAGTGGGAATTTAAGACCTCGGCCGGATGGACCGAGAAAGTGGCTGCACATCCAACTTCCTTGGAAAATGCGCTAAAAATTAAGACAAAAATTTCAAAGTTAAAAAAAACAAAAATATTTTTCGACAAAACGATTATAGGTATTTTGGTCCCGTTAAGATTTTGGCAGTGTAGATTAGGCATACGAGGGGAGACCCAAAAATAAACGGAAATTTCATCATTAAGTACTTTCTTTATTTCTTAATAAAATTACACCAAATTTTGATCACCTTCAAAATATTCTCCTTTGAGTTTACAACGCACTTCTTCAAACGATCCTTCCATATTGTTCAAAACATTAGTTAAATTCACTTATCTGGATATTCTTTAGGCTTCCTAGAGATTTTTGTTTTACCTCCTTCATAGGGGCAAAACGCCTTCCTCTCAATCTCCCTTTTGAGTCTAGGCTTTAATATAAAATATAGGTATTCAAAGGTCTAGGGAACAAAAAGAAATCGCAGGGGGCGAGATCTGGGGGGGGGTGGATAATCAATGTTATGCTGTTTTTGGTCAACATCTACTTTACGAAAAGGCGGGTAAAGGACAAATTTGGGCGCAACTCTTCTCAAGTGCAAGTCTTCGGATAAAATCGTTAGAATTGAACTCCATATAATATTCCAGACCTCTCACAGAGTTGATCAATATTTCGGCCACGGTCTTCACGAACGAAAGCATTTGTTTGTAGATGTAGTCGTCACTTTTTGACATTGAAGGGCGCGTGAAGTCGTAAACAACGTAGAGCCCTGTCCGATGTATTTATAAGAGAATATATCGTAAAAAATTGTCGAATATAATTATTAATTTAATAAATGGTAAACTTTGTTTTTGTCCGACTATAACAATATGGGTTATATACGATAGTTTCGCAGCAAACATTTTTGCCTAGGAAAGATTCAGGGGACGATTTATTTCGGTTTAACTGTATATGTGAGACGAATTGGGGTGTAGCGGTCCTTTCTTTCGTGAGTTGCGAATACCATTTCCGTAATCTTATATTTGAATGCCACTTAATTAATTTATACACAGAGTGTTCCATTTATCGGGAGTGATTCGATTATTGTAAAAAAATGATTTATATAAAATATTCTTATGAATAGGCCCATAAAATAATGCTATACAGATTTTCACATAACTGTTCCTTAATAAGATGGTCTAGTGTGTAGGGCAACTTAATTTTTTATACATTTTATTGAATATTTTTATTCTGCATTCTGAAAATAATAAACCTTCATGGGAAGTAAACTTGTTTTTTTCCTACCCACCATATTTTTGAAGACACTCTTCTAAAAGCGCGATTTTTGGTTAGAGCTATAGGTCGCTGTTCTGTCAAGAATTTGGTATTTTTTGTATATCAACCTTATTCTATAGGTATGTTGTCATACAGCAAATTGGCTGCTCTTTTCAAAGGTCTTAAAAAATATGCAAGGACGATGGTTTGAAAAACAAAAGTTGATCAAATAGATTGTGATGTCACATACAAAATTAGTACCTATTTAACTTTTTTTTTTAATCTCACCAAATGAAGAGATATTGAAGTGACCAGTTTATGTTGAGCACACTGTATGTGCTTCTGAAAGTTGTGATTTAGAGGCCGAGCTGAATCCAATAAAAATTTATCTGTGTATGGATTCTCTGATGGTATAGTGGCTCCTACGATTTAAGCACATTTATTGCAAGATATACTCCTCCCTTTGAATTTAGCCTTTTTATATAAGTAGATATATAGATAAATGCAATTCCCATGAAACAATGACAAGAACTTGAAATTAATTATATATATTCAAAACTTTTTACATTAACATCACAATTATTTATACATGCATAAAACTATAACCTTTCCTTATTGATCTAAACCTTGGTTCTTATTTATACATATGTTGGAAAATAAAAAAATGTCGTTTATTTCTTAATCATATGAATGAAACACGCGCAATAAATCATTTCACTTGAAAAATTCCAAAAATTCGGTCAATAACCTGTAAAATTCACAAAAAAATCAGTAAAAATAAAATTACATTTACGATAGGGATCACATTTAAAAAATGGGTATTGCACAGGCTGCTAATAAATCTTACAACCATTTATACAAGATAAAAACAAAATTGTATCATTTTGTTTCTGCAGTTGGTAATGATTTATTTGAAGCCTGGCCGAGACCTTTTTGTATGTGTTTCATATGAACCTCGACGTGATTTTGAAAAGCTAACTGATTCGATACCGTTAATTTTCTTTTTACAACCTCCATTGTACCTTGCAGTACCTGCAACTCATAAGCATTTTGGTCCGAATCCGACAGACTTTTAACTTGTAACATAAGGGCGGTTAAGTCGGTAATTAACTCGAGTATTGACGCATTCGTCACGGGGCCTTTATCCGACGCTATAACTGTATTGTTACGTTGCACAATTTCGGTGGCTTCCTCGCGACACTTTTCACGTAATAAACTCGGCGCCAACATTGCGGCGACACTAGGTTCTGGAGCGATTTCGTGGCAGTGCACTTGAATCTCGTCGAGATAATTCTTGAGATCGTGATTTAGCTTCTCCAAGTCGATTAGAATGCTCGCGTACTTCCTCTCGAAGTTGTCGGGCATTAACGTTTCAAACGAACTGAACTTTTCCGCCTCCGTATTCATGCTTTTCAGTAGTTTAATTTTCGCCTTCTTCACCGTTAGAATTTTCGTCACTAGAACTATTTTTTCCAGAAGTTTGACGGGAAAACTTCCGATGTGACCATCGACCGGCGAGAGAGTCGGCCTAATCCCCGAACTTGCTAGTAGAGGATCACGTTTTTTAAAGTGGGTGAGAGCGGGACTTTTGTTTGTACTGCCGTAGGGCGAAATGCCGTTGCGTGGCCTGAATTTATGCTGAAAGTTGAGGGTCGTCATCGTGTCTGGAGGTTCGTTTGAGAGAACTTCGTAGTCAGGTACCGAGTGAGTTCCTAAACCGTGTCTTTCGAATGTTATCCGGTAAGTGTTGTTGGAGGTATCTACAGCGTCTATGCTACCGGTGAACAGACCGTCTTGTGGTTTTCGAATGCGCGCGGTCACTTTGGTTCCGATTACGAGCTGCATTGGTATTTCGGGGGGTAGGTCTTTAAAGCTTGACATGTCTGTGGCCTTTCGTTGTTGCAGCGCCCGTATTTTGTTCCGTTTCTTTTCTAATTCTAATCGTTCCTCGTTAAAAAAGGATTGAGAGCAACGACGAGGTTTACCCATCATACGGCGTACTTTAGTCCATTCGATTCGAGTGAGATCGCGCGTCTTTAGCTCCGGGAAGGACTCCTTGAGGCATATGGTAAAGTCGTTTTCGCCCGCAAACAGGCACCGATCGATGTTACTGTAGAACCACTCGTAACATACCCACTTATGTGCTTTGGGAAGTTTGAGCAAATTTCTTAACCTCATTCCGATTTTCTGGCCTATTTTTCGATCGGGCGATTGTTGTGGAACCGGTGACATACTTTGAGGTCTGCCCTCTCTGTTTAAAGCGTATTTCTTTGGCGTTGGTGTAGGTTTTGGGGCTTCTTTCATTGTTCGTGTTGGAGTAACGATCTTCTGCTTCTTGTTGGAAATGGGGGTGGACTTCTTAGACGACGGTACTCGATGGTGAGGTGTGTTAATGATGTCATCATCGTAATATAGCTTGTTTTTCTTACGTATCCTTGCCGGCATCCCTCTGGCGTTCAGCACTTGTGGAGGTTGTGATAACCCCTGCTTGGGCGTAGACGGTGCACCAACACGCTGAAGCCCAAGAGCAGCAGGCCCAAGCTTGGGTATGTCGTCTTCGTCAATTTCCATATTACTGTCTTCATCATCATCCACAGCCTCTTGTTTCACATGCATGTCGTCGTTAGTCATTTTCCTACCATTCTTAAACTCCAGCAGAGCCACAGCAGATTCACCTAAAAACACAGGATTAAGTAATGCATTTGGGAATGTGAGGTTTATTTTGTATAAATTCAATAGATTAACGAGAGCACAAAAACTTTGAATTTGGTCACAGTGTACTCCAATGTTTAGGTTCAGTATTTGAATTTGGCATTGCACCATTTTCAAATTTGAACCTATAATTCCCACAAATTTTCTAAACGTATTACGATCGTAGATTATAGACGAATCAACAACCTTTGATTGATCAAGCAAACACACATTGAAAACTGCACATTGGCAACAATTATGCATAACCAAACAGCAACATTATGCAAATAAACTTATACGATTATCAAACAAACTCACTTTCAAGTTCGTCTGCCATATTTTATTTTGTGATGAACTGAGGAATTATGGGAGAACACAGGCGCGTAGTGTTCCAATCTGACAATATTTTAAAAATAGCTTCGTTTACATTTGAGGCTAATATCACTTTAATTACGGGACAAATTACATTTTGATCGTAACACTCATTTGGAAAATTAAATTTTAAATTTAAAAAAAAAATTGCAGAAAGCTGTAAAATATTCGAACGTCAGTTGGTTGCGCAAGTACAAATAATCAACGTGTGTGCCGCCTTAAAAACAACCGAAAATCGAATCGATTTTTGTCAAAACGAATTTGGGAATGAACCCTCTCTCTTATTTTTACCATTTATCAATTTCAATTGTGCTAGTTCGAAGCGTCGATGTGTTAGATAATAAAATTGAAATTGAAAAAAATTGCAGAGAAAGAAACCGATTAATAACAAGCGCCGAGGGCGACATCTTCATGTTGGTTGACGCTATTCCCGGTCAAAAAATTACATTGCAATGTCATTATTGGTAAGTTACGTTTTTGGACCAATCTAATCTATTTAAATAAATCCAATTATAGGAAAGTAGGGTTTTTTTAATCTTAACCACCAACACGTCACCAATTAACTTTATATTCCACTACCTTCTTTGATATGGTTCTTGCCGAATGGTAGAATGAGATCGATAAATTAGAATATTGTAAACAATTGCTACAGATCAAGATCTTCTATTAAAACTTTTTAGCGTTATGAAAGTTCAAAAACAGTTTCATGCGCATGCTCACTCATAGGCGTATCAACGAGAGGGCCGAATTTCATAATTTCTTGCATCTTGATGCAGCGTTTACACTGCGACTGCCCTCAATTTTTAGATCAGTGAGCGTTTATGAAGGGGCGTTGTTATAAACGAAGTCCGTAGATGGACTAAACAGTACATGAGCCTTACAAATTCAATGATTTAAGGAAGGGGACTGATAATATCAAATCAAGAGCAATGCTGCGCTTTGGGTCCAACTTTCGTGTTGCGGTCATATCCTCGGTGCACAAAAACTGTTTGCTTGTAACATCTGTTTGCATTTCTTGACCAGTGGCGTACCTTCATTGTACTTAATGTATGTTATAATGAACAGAAAAGATATGCATAAATTTATAACGCATCGGTTCATATATGTCATGTCGTGCACAATTTCTACTTGTTTAAATACATTTACAATATGTACCAACGGTTGCTGCTTTCACCATACGCCAATGAACTGTAGGCGGCCATATGTTTTGGGTGCACAAACAAATTACTGATGGGGTTCATTTTATACGCTTATATTCTTGTCGAATTTCCTTGAGTTTATAGTATATTTGGTTAAAGTCAATTGAATTTTGAACATACTTATTAGCTATATCTGGATACTTGTTTGGTGCAATAGAAAGACATTTAGTTTGTGAATTGTATTTTCATAGCCCTGATTTAAAGGTTATAGTTCATCATATGCACTGGTAAATGTACTTAACCCCCAGGTTCTACGCTAACTTTACCACTACAAGAACACGGAAATAAAATAAACCCGGCAACGTTTAAAAATGGCCACCCGAATGACTATTCCTTCCATATCTTCTCTTATATATATGATTCCTTCTAAAACTAAACAAGATCCCGCTTAAATTTGAAAAGTGGCACGTGATAAAACATCTAAGGCAGGGCCTCCTTACGTTAGTTGTAGACAACGCCTTGACCTGAAGCACAATAGGGAAGGAACGTTAAATAAAACACTGAAATTGGAAAAAGTTTGTTTAATAATGATCGTAATTATTATGATTGTGAAAGCCCGGAAATTTAGTTGATGTACATTAATATAAACAAAGCAAGCAAAGCCAGAAGGGTGTCGTACACTCGCAAAAGTCACTGCCAAGGATAAAAAGAGTACGACGGAGAAAAACCTTGCAGTTTGATTAATACAGTCCAAAAGTTAATTAACAAAATATTTTGTAAAAATTTAAGCAGTAGTTAACAAAGATAGTAAATGCATATACACAATGTTGGTTACACTCAAGGTTAAAAGCCAGTTTTTGGGGACAATGGGTCAGGTAGTAGCAGGTACCAAGATTCTGAGAAAGGATGAAATACACAGGATGTGACTCATCTTTGGTGCAATAGTCCTTTTGTTAAAAGCAAGATGGAAAACTACATGGCCTTGTAGGCAAATTTGACTAAAAACAAAATATGTGGAAATTATTGAATCGCCACTCATTTAACGCACATAGATTCTAAACTGAAGAGCTTTGATTGGCGTAATCTCGCTCCTGCAAGATGGGTAGTCCGCCCCTGGTTTCGGGGTTTCGAACCTACAGTTGGATGTCGAAGGTACAGTGCACGGAATTAGGTGCCCTAACATAATTATAGACTACAGTTTCTTTTTCCACCTCCCGTGACTGCTTCATTCACGGAGAAAATTGTTAGTAACAAACAACAAGTCAGTACATACATTAAACGAATCAGTAACTTCCACATATTAAAATAAAAAGATCAAAACTTATATGAATGTAACTTCAGGGACAAGACCAAGTAATCAACATCAATAAACATAAATTAAACAAACATTACACCAAAAATGTAAACAATTATAAACAATAGCATAACGGTATCACACATATGATTGCATTGCGGTTAAACAAAGTCAATTTCAAAAACAGAGATTCAAACACACAACAAATATAAAATGCGGCATACAAAACACAAATACGATATAAAGAAATGCAAAAATTACTACCTGCATTAAATAACACAAAATAACAACAAACATTTATGGAGCGACGCGTTCACGACCGCCATTCAAGACAAGATGCCAAACGTAACCCCGTTCGTGCTTTTTAGATGGCGCAGGCAGCTTTTTCCCACCTAGAAATTGCATGGTTGCCAACTCTCAAAAATGTATGTATCGTCGTAAGTTGTATATACAGGGTGGAACCTCTCAGCACTTTTGTATACTATAATTAAGTATTTTTTTTAGATGAGTGGAGGTAACATTTGTAACATAGCTACATGTAAAAGCAGATACAAAAGTTCTGGTCCAGGTGCTTTAAACAAAATGTCGTAACCGTAAGGATAAGTGGACCTTTAAAAATAAGTGAATATGTAGAAGAAGAAAACAATCGCACGACAATTTGTTTCAAACTCGGGTGGTATTCTATGAGTGCTACAAGGCAGGTCCTTGGAGGGTGCACATTTTGAAAGGCTTTTTTCTGAAGAACTCTATGCTTTCTTGAATTAACACGCAATTAACTCAATTTTCTAATTACAAATAAAGCACATTTTATTATTCAATTTTTAGCGCTCTCGTACTTACTACTTTACAACAACTCGCCGACATTCCCTTACGTTGATTATGCTTTAAAACAGCCTTACTATTCGTGGCATAATTACATTGATCACAAATTAAACAATCCGTATTTTTCAATGCGTCGTGCTTTAATAATTAAATCACGCTTAAAATTTTATTATTTGTCGGCCCGTGTGGCGCAGTTCAGTTAACGCTGAACGGTGGTACTAAGGGTCTCTGGTTCGAATCCGGGTTCGGGCATGGATATTTGTAAATGTATAGTGGGTTGGGTTGGTAGAGCAGCCTTGGCTGAAACCCCGCCCACTCAAAAATAAAGGCAAAATAAAATAAATTTGTGGCATACCTAATTGCACAGAGTACCTACATGTATCATCCTTCAATGTGTAGTGTCCCTAACCCCCAGGTTTTACGCTATAACTTCACACTACAAGAACACGGAAATAAAGTCAATCCGAAAACGTTCAAAAATTGCCACTTTACAGATCCCGCCTTAATTTGAAATCAAAAAGTTGAACGTGATCAAACATCTAAGGCAGGGCCCCTTTAAGTTAGTTGTAAACAACTACCCGAAGTACAGTAGGGAAGGAACATAAAATGAAACACTGAAATTGTGAAAAGTCTGTTTAATAATGAGTGTTATTGTATGATGGAGAAAAGCTTTACATTTGATTAATACACCACAAAAGTTAACAAAATAATTTGTGGAATTATCCAGTTTAAGTTGAGAGGTTTCACCCTGTATATACAACTTACGACGATTCATACATTTTTGAGAGTTGGCAACCATAGAATTTCTAGGTGGGAAAAAAGCTTGTTTGTTGTTATCTTGTGTTTTGTATGTCGCATTTTATATTTTTGTGTGTTTGAATCTTTGTTTTTGAAATTTACTTGGTTTAACCGCAATGCAGAATCACATGTGTGATACCGTTATGCTATTGTTTGTTATTTTTGGTGTAATGTTTGCTTAATTTATGTTTATTGATGTTGATTACTTTGCCTCGTGCTACTTTTCAAATTTAAGCGAGATCTTGTTTAGTTTTGGAGGGAATAGTCATTCGGGTGGTCATTTTTAAACGTTGCCGGGTTGACTTTATTTTCGTGTTCTTGTAGTGTGAAGTTAGCGTAGAACCTGGGGGTTAAGTACCGATACCTAGGTACCTACACTACAAAGTGCAGTGATTAGCAAAGATAGAAAGGAGTGGAGTGGCTTTCAAATATATTGGAGCCGACCATTCTTTGGCTTATGAAATGTTGTATTAAGTTAACGTCAGATTTATGTACAAGAGTTACTTCCTCGGGTGGTTAATTGTTGTATGTTTGTAGATGTGATGTAAAATATGTATTTAGAGTTTTCCACAGTTTTCAATAAACTTTCTTAGGCGCTTCAAATTCAATAAGTACCTAAGTCCACCTTTCCGATAGGAAACTTGTGTACTTGTGAGTGCAACCTGGTTTTTCAGAATGTAGGAAATCCGGCCATTGTTGATTGCGAGGTCTGATATACTTTTGTTCATGTTCGCTATGAAGCGGTATATGTGTAAATTTTCCTACAAATTCAAAACCAAATTTTTAAAAAGGCAAAGTGACGACCTGTTAGTACTTTTATACCGTCCAATTTAGTTCAAAGATGAACCCATAGATATTTGAATGGACCTAAACATTATTCCAATTAAATTCACAAAAGACGAGTAAAAGTGTTAGTAGGATTTGCAGCTGCCGATTGGGGCTCAACAGATCTGCAGGATCGAAAGTCATATACAAGGTATGTTTTTAAACTTTCATGTCGTTCTATTTCATGGAAGAGTTGCAATCAAAGAGCATTAATCAAGCAAAGTTTATTACCGATTTGGGTTTATGTAAAGATTGAAATTGGAATTTACGGTATGTGAAAGGGTGTTGTATGTATCAACAATTCTTCAAGCAGAGTTTATGATAAAGCATCTTGCGGAATTAGCGGAAGCTGTAACGGGAGCCCGTTGCAGAACTTGGAGTGTTATTGTCTTTAGATCGCGATGACGTTTCTGGTCTTCATCAATTTAGTACAATGTACAATCGTTTGTTTTAAACTTTCACCCGTGTAGTAGCAGAAAAACTACGTAGCCCTATGGGAGTGAATGTAAGCAATGGTTGTGGTGGACGAAAAGTGTTACCCATTGTGACTGTTATTGTTCAAAATTAGATTTATATTTGGAGTTGTGTTTAGTTGCGCCCATTACGTGTGGGCCAATAGGGAAGGTACAGTTGAATCACTCTATGGAACGGGAACCGTGTTGAGAGCGTGTACTTGTAGGAGCGAATTCTTTTTGCATCCCGTCCCCCTCCTTTACCCTTGAGTATTCACCACTTGATTTTTTTTGCTTTATCGCAAAGTGTGGCGAACTTTTACATTCATTTGGTGACTTTTCACTGTACAATTTCTGCAATGCACGATAGAGAATGGTAAAGAGGATTTTAATTAACGGGATGCTTCTGAAATTTAAAATAACAAAATCCGAACGTACCTAAGTAATTTTACAAAATTTTAAATTGCGAATGCAGTTTGCAAAGAGCGGACTTTGAAAGTTGCTAAACTCGATCGCTACATTGCAAAACTTTTTCCAGCGCAGAAAACGACGACCAACAACCTAAAATATGGTATAAAATGAAAGCTCAACGAAATTCAAAGCCCGAAGAAGTAAATTTGGGAATGGATTTTAACGTAACCCATAACAGAGTACGCGTCACGATAGAGCACTCCCTAATAATCAGGAACGTAACGATAAACGATACCGGATTTTACTACTGCATTGGACTTGAGGGACAGGAATCCGCAAATAAGTACAGTTATTTAATTGATGGTAGGTTGCTAGAACCATTGAATAACGACTAATTTTTCACTCAACGCTAGAGCTATCCCAACTTAATTATTTCAGTTGTGTTTGACAACGGAACGAATCCGGAAACCGGAAATATGACAAAATGGCGCCAATATCATGAGGAGTATTTTGAGCCAGTGAATCAAATGTTTAAAAACTCACAGAGTGAAGAGGTCGTTTATGTTCGCGAAAAGCTTTTTTTAAGCATTGAAGTAGTTACAGAGTGGGAGCACTGGGGGCCATGCGAGGTGTGCGGTCGTCCTCCCGGCGAAGGGAGGAGGCACAAGAAAGGATTTTGCAGAATAAAATTGACACCAACGGCCGTACTGTGCCCAACCCATCTTTAACTCTAGCTCACGCTTTCCTTCCAGAATATATCAGTGACGACCGCTAGAAGTGACGAGGAAAGTATCTTGCTGGATGTTTACGAACTGTCATGCAGATCTTTGATATTTGAGCGTGTTTTTCCATCGATCAGTCAAGATCTGAAATATTTACCGCACTTTGTGCAAATTGAGCGATGCGATGGACTTTGTAATCCGGGTAGGTAATATACAACCAACTTTAACTCGCAAATAAAAAGTGTCGTGTGTCAATAGATGCAGAGGGACTAAGTAAAGGATGGAAATCGGGAAAGCGAGGAGGATTCAAGTATAGAAAGTCATACGTATTGGCCCAAAGCGACCACTTAGTTCTAATTTGTCCTGAGTGAGTAGCTTGATCAACGGTCAATGGCCAGAACTCTCTTTTTAGATCTACTCTTCTAAGCACGGTGATTTGGCACAGAAATGGACAAGTTCTAAAACCGGGCCAAATTGTGCAAGCCGGTTCAGATGAAGAGCCCAGAATCATCGTCGACACATTTAACACACTCTACCTTCACGACGTTACTAGTGAAGAAGATGGTAATTACACGTGCCAAGTCGACAACGTTAACATGCAACAAATTGATATTTTTGTCGTTTCCAAATCGCGAATTTTGACCCAGGGTGAGTGGAAGAAGAAATTTATAAGTTTTGCATTTTGACCTTCCAGCGTTTGTGCGTCATATGCTTTATTTGGCCTTTGTTTTATCGTTAACATTTTCTTGTTACTGTGCCGGTTTGTTTATCACTTGGAAAAAGCGAAGTAACTTTAAGACTTACGAAGATCTGCTGATGGAAAAAGGCGAGAAAATTTATGTTGCGGATAGCGATTATAGCGAAATCTATAGCGACGAGGATTAACGAAGTATGTGTTTTGTTAAAAAATTGTTCTTAGGAATGTGGTCATTGACATTCTTTAGCCCCAAGTCACTACCTGCACAAAAGAGAAAGTAGACTTAGTAAAAATGTCTACCTCGTACCTACTAACATATGTTTAATAAAATGCAACATTGTGGCGTCCTAAATTTGTTAGTAATTTTTTATTTAGCGTTTTTTTGCGAGTTTAGTTCCGGTATGTGAAATATATTTTTTTTAATAATTGAATTTTCAAGTAACGTCTTTTTAGGACTGTTAAGAAGATGTTTCGTGTGCAGATCGCGAGGTGAATTGGGAAGTTGCAAGGATCCTTTTACGTTTAATGCAACCGATGTCGAGTTTGAACGAGGGGTTGATACTATCCCCTGTGCATCTGGGTGGTGCGGAAAAATCGTTGAAAGTGAAAACGATCTAAAAGAAGGTAAATATTACATTTTGGGCAGTAGTGAACACCAAATATTCGCATAATTTTAATAAAAGAACTAATAAAAAAGTTTGACTTTCGGTGGTTATAATTCGAACTAATATAAAAAAATGGAAATCTTCATTGAACAAAAAAACCCATTTATATTAGAAACTTTTCTTTACTTTTTTTCGAATTAGGTTAGGTCAGCCTTTCTGTGGGGGTAAATAGAGCGCGGAAAATTGAAATCCAAATAGATACAGATTTATAAGATTTTTAATCTCATTTTGGGTTACGGATTTAGATTTATTTTAGGCTTAGACTTAGAAGCAACTATTTTAGAATCTACGATTAATGATTAACATGCACTAGCTTTCAAACACTGAGTTCTTCCTTCAGTTGACGCTTATTTCGATATTTAGGTTTCAACGAAGCGATAAGAGAAAAACGGTGTGTGTTTTCATTCTGTTTTTGAAATGCAGGTCACGGTCACGGTTTTCTTCTTGGGCAATGTTTCTATAGCTTCCTTTTTGTGTGTCCATTACATATACAAATAAATATCAGGTTTTAAGTCATTTTGGAGCTTGCTCTCTTGGAGTTTCTTTTCATTTTTCCTGAAGTTCTCCGCAATTTCTCTTAAGATTCTGCCCAATTTTCTTTCAGTTTCTCCTTGAGTGCCTTTGAACATCCTCTCGAGCGAGTTATCATCCAGTTCCCTTCAAGCTCTTATCAAATTCTATGAAATACTCTTTAAAATCCATGTTTCTCATCAAGTTCATCGTTTTCGTTTTTTTTAAATGGGAATGATTTAACCTGAACTTTAACCAAGAAATTGACCGGTTTGTAGGCATGCAAATTATGTTTAGCGATTGAGAAACCAATAAAAATAACAATTCCTCTTCAGAATCACGACTAGTTGCGACGATCTCCAATCACCCTATCTGATACGTTCTCAATTTCTCATTTTGACCATTGAATAACTACTGAAGTCTGGGTATTCTATTGCACCCCCTCCTAGCCAAATACATTCAAGCTAAAGGGTACCTCTGAAGATAAAAATCAAACAGGTTTTGCACGTTTGCACGTTAACCGTGTGCGTGTCTGACAGTTAATTTCCATAGATACAAATACAGGCTGTTTCACGCAAATCTGAAAATTTTAGAAAATCTTAAATAAAACGAAAACCATAACAGATAGGTATAGGGAATGTAATAATTGATCGATGTAGAATTTTTCTCCACATTTGAAAGTTCAAAAAAATAAAACAGGTTTCATTTGAAAAAATCAACCTTTTAAGGTTCGAAATGATTAAACTTGACCATTCATTTTCAAATACCCTGTAGAAGGGCGATCAAAATTTAAAACATTCGCATGTAGCATCTCGTCAGTATTGTTGAATTTGGAAGAGTTTTTGAAATTCAACGGATTCATTGGTACAGGGCGCTAAAGAAAAGCAGTCGAACGTAAAAATGTTGAAAAATCTTAAATAACTTGAAAACATTTGATGCTAGGTATAGCGAAATGTGGTATCAAACAACGTAGATTTTCATGTAAATTTCGAAAATTCAATAAAATACAGGATGTCCTATTTAAAATAATAAATAATTACGATCACCATAATATTTTCTTTTAGAGCCTAAAAAACTATGTTGGTAAGCAAATTTGCAGATTTAAATATTAAATTATTAATGGGAGTCCAAATACTTTTAGGTAACGGTTTGCGTGAAACAGCCTGTATATATTCACATAGGAGGCTATGAAATCCAGTCCGTAGGAGCTTCACTGCTTCATTTAATCTACTTAATTGTTGTGTTCTTGAAAAGTCCTCGGACACAGGGTGCTCGATCCATTTAAAAAAAATGATGCCGACGTCTACCTTCTCACCTCCTACTTGAGACACCATGTTTAATGAAAAAACGGCATATTTGACAGTACTAATCAATAGGTTCAGCGAATTTTTCCAGAACCTAAATGCCGGATATGTAAATGAATTTGTTCCTAAGAAGGCAGTATAAAGATATTCCTAGTAACCCCCTTATCGGCTCTATAGTTTTGTTAAAGAAACATTGGTTTTTCCGAGCAGAAATATATGATCTCAAAATGTCTGTGGATTTTTGTCATCCCTGAAGAGGTTGGAACCGGAACCGACAAGAACCGGCACCGGAACCAACTACATTTCTAGACTCTAGATGGAAACGGAACCATTATTCAACAATTTATAATAACGGGAACCGATACCGTTATGATTAGAGCTAAAGAACCGGTATTTTTCGATTCTGTCTCTCTCTCTCTTGTAGATAGGGAGGTTGCCTTTTCTAAGAGAGAAAGTTTATTTTAGGTACAATGTTGCTCTTAAAATATGGCACTATTTGAGCTCTATAAGACAGCGTTGACCGATTTTGAATACAACGTTTCGTTTCGGAGAAATCATCATTAACTTTATTTTTTTATTATGGCTCATAAAGAAGTACATACTGTATTGAATATTAACACGAATGTAGGTACCGCGCACACAAAAAAACAAAAGTTGGAAATAATTGCAACAGGATATGGTACCTACACCAGCGCACTTTGCTCTTATCGTGCCAGAATACCTATTGGACAGATTTTTAATTTTCCAGGAAATTTGTCCGAAGGTATTTTCGCACAATGAGGGCGTTGTGTGCGGGTGCACCATCCTGTTGAAACCAACAGTTTCAAATCTTTGTTTTTTTGTGTGCCGTATATCGTTGTATCCTTAATATAAAATGCTACCTGTGTGCATTTTTTTACGGGCCATATAAAAAAATAAAGTTGATGATGATTTCCGGTTGATTTTCGCTAGCATCGACGCTTGTTAATTTGGGAAATAAACGAGGTGCAGGTGAAAACAAGAATTTGTAACAATATCCCAAAGTGAAGAAATATCACGAAATACATCATATGAGTAGATTTCCTAACGAAAGGGGGGGGGGGTCAAATTTTTTATTCTAATTTCTTTAGGCACCTTATTTAGGACTCAATCACGTCAAGCGTCAATTGTTTTCAAAAACTATTTATTACTATAAAATTATGTACAAAAATAAATTAATTATGACACACATTGAATTCTGCGATACCTAAAATATTCATCCTTCTTTTCATTTCAGAATATGGAGTTGCTACGCAAAGAATGTGTCTACAAAGAGGTCCATCGGATAGTGAAGATCGTTGTGCATATACGAAATGGCAATTTCGAAGAGTTTTGATGTGTTTTTGCCGCGGTGATCTATGCAATTCGTCCTTAAGACTCAATGCATCTTTTGGAACAATTGCAATTACTATAATATTGAGCGTTTATAGACTGTGTAAATAAATTTATTTAATTTGTGTTTAAAATCCATTTCTAAGGAAGGTAGACGTATTGAAATCTGTAATTGAAGAACGGCGAGGAGGGTCGGCTTGATCCTAATCTGTGTTCTTCTAAACCATTTTCGCGTCTCATTTGTTGGTTTTTCAGTAACGCGCTTACGTGTGGGAAGTCGTTGTAGAACATTTCGTTTGAATATAACAATTTGGCAATGGCCAGTGCTCTTCCTCCGGTTACCAGGTAAGGGTCTGGGTATGCTAAAATGAACAGATCAGTAGAACGAGATAACAAATAAATTCACCTACCTAAGCCATCACTGAAATCTGGCGTGATATGACCATCGCGACCAATTTCAACCTTTACCCCTCCATACTCTGGAGGGTTCAAGTAGATACTGTCTTGCCAAAATTGATTCACGTAGGGGTAGGTACCAAGAATGTGGTTGAAGCTTCGTGATTGTCGGTTTCGCTGATTGCTTGGATTGCGAGAGGGTGCGTTGTGTATTGTTAATGTAGAAAAGGAACTGGTTCTCGCGTTGCTTGACGATTCATTTTGTATGAATTTTACAGGTTGATATCCACATAATCCACTTGATATTAAAATGGTTAGAATTGGCAAATGGCGTTGGAAACTCTGTAATAAATCACACAGTTAGTGAAACAATATGTATAATTGACGGTGATGTGTTTCGTATTGTTGCGCATTTAATTACATACTTTTGGAACACACCTCGTATACTTTGTCTTACACCTCGTACACAATGTTCCCTTTAATCGCACACAACAGGGGTACCTACTCTTGTAAAAATATTAATTTGTAGTACCTAAACGAATAAACTACGCTAAATAACGTGCACCAGTTTCGTACCTAAATACCCTCATTGCAACTAAATTACGTACCTAGATGAAATGACTATTCTCGTTAATTTCTTTCATTCAGGACAGTGATCGACATCATTTTTTACTTATTTCTGAATTCCAAGCCTTATTATTGTTCGCAATTTTCTTTATCATTTTAAATGTAACATGTTCAATAATAATAATAATAAGCAATATATAATTTATAAAATCCCAAACACCAATCAATTCTACCACTTAAACTAACATTAACTTTAAGGTCTCAAAATGTTAAATAATTTGAATATTTTTAAAATTTTAAGAATCGAGCTTGAGTCGTTTAAACGTATTTTAGTCGGGCTAATGTTGTAGTTAGCGTAGTTCGAATGCATCTTGTTATTTACGTTTTTCTGACAGATCGATTTGATCCGGTTTTGTGACAGCTTTGCAAGTAAAATTCTTATTATTTTACAAAAAATAATTAAAAATACTGTAAGTGAATCAATTACCTATTAACATATAAATGATTTTGAATAAAACTCTGCTTTTCTCATCTTTACTGTTAGGGTAGGTGTTTTGCAACATTTAAAGGTTAGAACCCTGTGTATCATTTATACTCACTATCTACTTATTTGCAGTGTGCTGCGAAGAAACTCGATCGTAGCTAGAGAAATGTCTGGAGAGTGTGCGGCAAACAACACTTCGTATGTACCGGGAACACATTCTATTGCGTATATAACGATTGACACTGAAGATAAGGCGAAACAGTTGGCACATAACATAGTCACTAATAAGTTAGCAGCTTGCGTTAATATAATACCAAAGATATTGTCAGTGTACGAGTGGGAGGGTAAAATAAATGAGGATCCTGAGGTGCTTATGATGGTTAAAACGAGAACGTCACAAATTGATGCTTTAACTGCATATGTTAAGGCTAATCATCCATATACAGTTTGTGAAGTTATATCTATTCCCATTAGTAATGGGAATGACGCTTACCTGAAGTGGATTTCTGAAACTGTCCCGCTACCCAAATGCAAATAATCTGGTCACTAATGTATTTAATTGAATATTAAATAAGTCTACTGTATGTACGTGTGTTATTCTTTGATGAAGTAGTACCTATAGGCTATAATATAAAATTTATTGCGGTGAATTTTTCTTTGCGGAGAGGGAGAGTGCAATTTTGAAGAAATCCATGTGACATCTTTTGTTACTTATTACCACCTGCATGTTAGTAAGGGAGGTACTGCATTGGGGGAAAAACTGACCTCCCCACTTATTTTACGGAAATACACGCTTTGAAGCAACAAGAATCTGAATCAAACAAAATTTCGATGATTTCAATTGGTCTCTGTACACCCATTTTCGGCTGAACCGATTGAAACCAAATTTTGTACACATATTACATAAAAGGGCAGAATGGCGCATGCGCTGGTGTGCGGGTGGTATTTATATATACGATATACTATACAACATTTTGGTCAAACACCTGCTCTAGTGCCTACCAAAGATCGACTTTTCTCTCTCGGTCTAATGCTCTTGATCAGTTACACTTCATAGGAAATACATATGCTATGCTCTGAACTGATTAGTAATTGGATGCTGTAGAAAGTCCTTCGAGAAATTTTTACCGTCAGCTAGTGTCTGTCACAACATGCTTTCTGGAGACCCATCTCCATATGCTTTCTAGGTCAGTGTTTTCATGTATCCATGTACTAGAAAGTATCCGACGCTCTGGGAAAGAGTTAGAAGGCTAGCTTTGGAAAGGGCTTAGTGTACTTTGGAAGATTTAGAACGCTTTATGCAGGAAATTCTAAAAAATGTTCAAAAAGCACTGGAAAAGACTTAGGTAAACGTTTGAGAAGTAGTCGCAGTCTGTTTCAGAAGAAACCGCTAGAAAAGTCATTGAAAACAATTTTTAGATTTCACGATATTCGCCCTTTTTGAGAGCACTCGTTCGCCGTGTTTAGTGGTATCTTTTTTACACTGAGAGAAATAATATAATCAAAGTGTCTACCTGAAAATATTTTAATTACAATAAATGTCTTTTTATTTGCCTCAATTAGTTATCAATTTATGACAATAATCTCATATATACTGTGTTAAGTAAAATCGATTTTCTAGAAGTGGTGGATAAGGGCAATTAGACATATTTGCTAAACGCTTGTAGATTTTCATAGGTAGAATAACAGCAGATAGCGTTTTCGCTGCAGTTATAAAACTGTTGCATTGAATTGGATATTCTTGCTTAATTACGTTTTTGTAACTGCCATAAACGTTTAGTTTAGTTGGCGTTATGAAATACTAATTTATGGCGAGTAAACATCTACTTGTAGCAATCGTCTTCAGAAGCCGTTTTCGTTCGTTTTTTGACGACCATAAAAGCTGTAGGACAGGTATAGCAATTTCTTAATATACGCATGCAGGTAGGTACTGTGCTGTGCGGGTGTAAGTTTTATTCGGTTTTATTATATGTACCTACCTAGTGTACCAAGAGCTGAAATTTACGCCATACCCACCCCAAAATGAGCGAATTTAAGTCATTACTTATTAAATGGGGACTTGATGTATATTTCGATTATTTCTTAGGTAAGTAGAAAGAGTTATATTTTTGCTACTATTGCTGTCTACCGAAATTATTTTTTAAGTTTTTAAGCTACTGAGACCCAGTTGCACCAAAAAAATTAAGCCTTGCTTAAAGTTAAGTCGAACTTAAAATCTATGGCAACGATTATTAAGACAATCGTTGCTATGGTATTTTATTTAAGTTATGCTTAACTTTAAGGGATACTTAATTTTGACGGTGCAATTGGCCCTCACTGATGAAAATTGTTCAAATTTTATGTCACACGACCGAGTATATAATTATGCTTTCAGATATTGTTTATGTCCAAGGATACTATATAATACAAGGATTGCTCGATCACTGAATTTTTTCGCCGCGTCTAGTGACGTCACTCGCGGACCCAGTACCAGCGCATGCTTTGATTAAGGCCGATTCCCATTATAGCAGCATCGAGCAGCGCGGTGAAAAGCTGCTCTCAATTGTTCGCATGTAAATAAGTAGATCCATTTTCACCTAGGCAGAGCGGTGCAGAGCAGAGCGGCGCGGTGCAGCGCAGAAAATTTTAAACGCGTCGGGAAGCATTGGAATACGCGGCGCTGCTTTGAAACGCGCCGCTCTGTGTGTAGACGGACAAGTGGGAATCGAGAAGCGAAGCAGATCGGCGTGGTGCTGCGGCTTGTGAAAAGCATTTATTTGTCTTCTGTGTTGAGCTTGCGTGTTTTAGTGGATTCGCTATGGACGGACAAAGAATAGAAAAATTAATTGTACTCGTCCGCTTTCTTTTTCTTCTTTTTTCGTCGTGTACATGGCATAGTGCCGCTATAAATATTATGAAATCATCTGGTGATGATGACGATGGCTCTTCTTCGAGCGTGTAAGAATACATTCTCCCTTAACCTGAACACAAACAGAAACGCTGCTTCGTCACGCTTCCAAATGGTGCTTAAGTGGGAATACCCCTCTACAATTTGCTGCTAGCGACGCGCCGCGCTGATCTGCGCCGCGCCGCTCGGTGCTGCTCTAATGAGAATCGACCTTTAGGATTACCATAAAATACGTTCAAATGGGTGTTGTAGGCAGGCATTTAAATTAGAAACATTTGTCCATTAATCTCGCTTGCAGTACCATATCCATTCCTTGCGTATTAGTCCATCGGTTTTAGGGAAGTTATGGTAAATGACTTCCGGGTTAGTGACTTTTGTGCAAACACGGCTGTTGTTACAGTCTAATTATTGCACATCGGCGTCATGGCGTCCATGCAAATACACGTTCACAACTTAGCAAATTATAACTGTCAATTCTGACAGCCAGGTCCGTTGGTGACGTCCCATATGACTTAAATGCGGGCAACATTACAAGTATAGGGATCGAGCAATCCTTATATTATATAGTATCCTTGGTTTATGTCAATCAGTGCTTCATTGTAAATAATGAATATTACATCACAATTTATTAATTGTATCCTAAGTGGCATTTTCGTTTGATTTTCATTTTTTATTGTTAGATAGGTACCTATAGGATTGTTGTTGTTTTTAAGTGTAATATGTACGTTTTTAATTTTTGTCTAATAAATACCATTGTGAATTACGTTATTACTAATTCCAATTGCCCTTAATGAATAGATTTTTAACACAATTAAACAAGATGTACTGTAGTAAGTCAATTAAAAACCATTCTAATTTAACTACCTTTCTACAACACCTCACTTTGCTACCTACAGTTATTTTGCGGTTAAATCTTCCTATACCTATACTTACAACAATTTAGTGTACTATTTAAGGTTATTTAAAGTACACTTATTCTAATTAAACTGTTTATTATTCATAATAAATGCCTTTAATTGTCTCTAAAGAAAGTTTATGTTTGTTGCCAGGTTTTCAAATACCTACGGTAATTGATGTAATTACAAATAAAATTAAAATTTGACTGTAATCAAACAGGTACAGAAAACTCTGTTTAATTATCGTGAATAACAAGTTGTATAGTCACATATAGTATTAAATTTTTTTTATTACTGATGCTAACAGATTTTTCTCTCAGTGTAGGAGTTTGAAGTATCTTTTTTTAAAGATTCAAAAATAGAGCGCGTCGGAGCTTTGTAAATTATTTTAAGTCTTTTATAGAACTCTTTATGATCGCAACTTAAAATGCGACTACAAATTTTCCAAAGCAAATAGACAGTTAGCCAGACTGGAGACATCAAATGATATCCACCTTACAAAACTTTATAGTGCATTTCCAGGAATTCTATCGCTTTAGCCCTTACCGTATCTTTTTGGGGCTTTTTGTGGGCTAAAGAAAAGGATTTGTACATATGGCCAACGGAAGGTTTGAGATTGGCCAAACACGTTTGTAGAAAGACCCTAAAATATGTTCGAATGGCGCGATGGGATGCGCTGGAAAGACGATATATTAAAGCAATATTCAATATTGCTTTAGAAAACATTTAAATTTGTTCTGTAAAGAACTGGAAAGTATAATTTGCAGGTTTTTTTAAGGATTGGCCAACCGACTAATCGATCAGTAAAATATTGAGCAAGCGAGTGGATTATAGGTACTCGATTACAAAGAGAAATAACTATTTTCAAACGCCCGATTTTACAAACAATAAAAATATTATGTATAACACGACATAATACTCCTATAAGTATAGGCAACAAACCTTGCAGCGAAAGTAAATTCAATTAGTGACCATTCTGGCCAAATTTCGAAATACAGGGATTTTCACAACGAAGCTTGGCAGAAAGTTACAGTGGGTTACGACTGTTACGAGATTGGTCACGAGTTTTGGTGACGGAGTAGTGTGATGGCGGGCCGGTTTTTCTCAAGGTTTATTTTGTTCTGAAAAGTCATTATTATATTCTTTTTCGTACTAACCATCAATCTTTGAATTTCATGTGACAATTTTTTATTAGTTGTAGGTACATTCGTGGCATGCTACCCCTACGATTAGGCAAGACACCTTTACATCTGAAACAAAAATACGTACGATACGCTCTGTACGCTTTGCTACGTTTATTTTGTTTGTTTTGTTTTGAAAATTTTAATCTTTCTTGTACTAACTAGGTACTAATTATCGAATTTCATATCACAAGTTATTATTTACATATTTTTTTGTTTATGTAAGTACCTCCCGCTACTAAATCATGTTTGTTAAACTGTAGGTACAGGTGATTATGCCTTTATATTGTTTTGTTAAGTATTTGTTTATGTATTCACTCTTAAGCGGATTATCAATATGATGTCGTTCTGGATGTTTGATTTAATCATTTATTTCCGTGAAAAAAAACCTCATGCAGTACGATTTTTCGCTGTATATGTTTCTTTTTTCATCTCGTCCAGACTGCAGAACTTGCATCTAGCAATACGAGAAAGGGGACTCACTATTTAACTTTTTTTCTGTTTTAATTTGCGTTTTTGTATGAGCGGTGGACTGATGGTCTACTTTAACTTGAATACTATAGGTACTGCTGGCATTTGTCACTTATACTTCCGTATTACATTAGTTGAAGTCGATGCTT